GCATGGAAATTGGTAAGATTGAGTCAAAAAAAAAAAAGATATTGAAGACCGAGTCAGAATAAAAAAAATCTTCTTACCCTAGAATTTGAGGCTGAAAATAACAATATAAATTTTAGTAAAATAACACCAAAATGTAAAAAGAAAAAAAGTCATGTCTAACAAAAAGCTCCAAAACATAACAAATAGATGAAACAATCAGTGACCATCTTAATATTTGAATGCCATCTTAACATCAGAATGTCAATTCCCTTAATACCAAAATGAGGTTTCCTATTGCAAAACCTTAAAAGATGTTTAAGGAAGCATCTTTATGTGCAGAAAAAGCTGAAATTATAATTCTCTTGCAAAAATATTCCTGCTTAAATTTCCTAAAGTTACAAAATTTTATGTTCCTCTGCTTCATTTTGGGGGGGAGGGAAGGCTTTAAAAGTCATATTTCATTATAATTATCCAATAAACAATAGTTTTCTCAAAATATGTATGCCTCTTATTCTTGGTTTCTACCCTTACCAAACTAAAACATCATTAATTAAAGACATGAATTTGTCAAGACTATCTATGATCTTGTATCACTCAATCAGCCAGTTAGTCAACAGACATTTTACTGACTACTTTCTATTTATCAAGCACTGCACATGTGTTTGGAGCAAGAAGAGGAAAATGAGATAATCCTCACCATCAACAAGCTCACATTTCAATAGTATTCTGGGTACTGTATTTCTGGACTAAGATTTCCAGAATCACTGAATTTGATATTTAGATTAGTCTAATGCATATCTGAAGAAAAATCTACCTTATATTAGAAAAAATGTTAGAGTGTGTGTGTGTGTGTGTGTGTGTGTGTGTGTGTGTATGTGAAAATGTTTTAGCTTCTCTTTGGTTTGTATCATTTATACAAAAAACTGCAATATTTTTCTATTCATAAAACAGTCTTTAATTTCTTGTACAGAAGCTGGTTCTCATTTTCTCAAATATAGCATAATCCAAGTACTATGTTACTGCAAAAATTCCTTCTAATTATTAAAAGCAGGGCTTTATGATAATTGTTGAAATAGAAGTCCAACAATTTAGAAATATTAACACACAAAACACGAACATAAATAATCTGGATATGAAACCATCCATATTATTATTATTATCAATCCTATGTTATTAGTGTAGTTCATGAAAGCTCCAAGAATCTTTATTCCCAACTGTAATTTGCAAAGATAAGCTAGGTTCCCAGAGCTAAGCTGGTTATATCTTGACTTTGATATGTCCTAGTGGTATATCTATAGGATGACAGGGGTGGGAGGGGGGAAGGAGAAGAGGCTTTCTCTAATGCCATTGGTTAGAAACTTCACCAGTGTGCAGCTGAGAATAATTTAGTCAGATAGTATTAACTATCTTTCAAAAAGAGATATTTACTAAGTTGTTTAAGAAAATTTGATAGAAAACATTTCCCAAAATCTGTGACACATTCTCTCATAAATATAGAGTTCAGAAAAAAAAACCCAGCAACAACAACAACAAAAAAAACAGCATGAGCCCAAGCTTAAAGAGTACACATGTCAAAGAGGTAACAGTTCCTGTTTGTTGGAAGTCTTTTTACCTCATCCATAGGTGATCAAGAAATTCCCCCTAAAAATGGTGAAACTGCATCAATCTGTTCTTGACTTCTAACTGAAGAAAAAAAAAGATCCCACCCCTATCTGGCTATACTGCTAGGGAACCAATGGAAACATGTGAAGTCCAAAATATTTCTGGAATCCTTGAAGCTTGCAAGGTCCTGCCCTGACCCAAATTGGGGAGAATGGAGACCAATGGCAAACCTGATGTTTCTATCTCTCCATCTGGTAGTTGTTTTTCAGAGGTCTTCTAGAAAGCTAGAAAAGTTCCAATTTATAAAAGTCAATTCCTTCTCAACTCCTTCATAATTTATATAGTTGATCCTTTGACCATGACCAGGTTTTTTAAGCTATCAAACATTTTTTTTTGTGAAATGTTTTTCTAGCTTTTTAGGAATTTTAGCACTTTCAAATTTAATCTAACTTGTTTTTTTTTTCCCTTCCTCTTTCCATGTTCTATATTCCAAATGAACTCATTTTGCTTTCAATGTGGGCCCTTCTCAGAAATTAGGATTGTCCTTCCTGTTGTGACTAAGGCAATTAATTTCTCCAGGTGGAAGTCATGTTTGTATAGTCATAATATTCTCAATAGCTTGGGCATCTTTCTATTCTCTGTTATCAACAAGGTCTAAAATCATCCTTAAATCTCTGCTGCCATTTACATAGCCTAGTGCCCATTATTTCTTATGGAAGTTCTTGCCTGTAACCTCCAGTAGCTACCACTAATATGATCACTTTATTTGTCCAGATGTTCCTGGGGATTGGGAAGTAGTATTTGTGTATGTCATCATTCACTAGTTTCAAATAGAAATTTCCTTTGTGTTCATATACCCTCTTGTCTCCATATATACCTCCCTAATTCAGAAATATTTTTGGGAACTTAATTGCCCCTCCCACACAAGTCTTTTCTAAATTCCACTTTGGCACAGCAATGCCATCCCTCTCCCGATTTAAAAAAAAAATGCTTTATATTTCCTTTTCTGTATATATGCTCTTTCTTCCCCCAGTAGAATTTAAACTTCTTGAGGTCAGGAGCTGATTTTTCTTTCTTCCTCTTTCTAAAATTAGCACCAGTACTGTGCTTTGAATATAACAAGAAATTAATTATTGCTTGTTGAGTTGAATTGATTAGACTATTATCTCCACGATATTTAGTACTATTCCTAAAGCTTTCCTAAAGTAATACCCTAAACAACTTTAGCAAAGGTTCATTCTAGTAGGGTTTTTTTTTCTCCCAACATAAGCTACATAAATTTTTCCTGAGGCTTCTATTTTGATAGGAAATATTTGGTTAGATTCAAATATTTAAATTTTAGAATTTGGGAAATCTAATTATCTCAGAAATGGATACCTTAGGTATTTTCTTTCCTGCTGCTTTGTATGATGTGGGGCTATTAACATCTAGATCTGTGTGTGGGCTTGAGTTCTGTTCATCTGGGTTAATTGAATAATATATGATTGTATTCTTCATTAGGTGATTCAGATTCAAAACAATCTCCTTTTTTAGAGTGACAATTAATAGTAGTTTTATATTAATGTGCTCTTATAGTCATTTTTTATTTTGGTTAACAAGTATTTGTGATTAAACCAGCTTTTTAATCTCCTATGCATATCCAGTGGGAAATGAGGAAATAAATGACAGCTTGAGACATGTAGAGAAAGCTTAGATCTCTTTACTTTCTTTTGCTATTCTGTCTTCCAAGTTATCCTATAATATACCTGTCATGTTAAATATCATGGACACAAAAATCATGTTCAGTGTTCACATGGTGTTGCCTTTTCTTTTTCCCACTGTTTCTTTTTCAAGTGAGTGCATTTACTTCTGTAGCAGGAATAAATACATACAAATATCTATCATATACTACTATAGGAATATATATATCTCTGCCACTCTCTCTCTCTCTCTGTGTAAATGTTTCCCTGTCTCTGTTCTCTGTCTATCTAAATATGTGTATATAGATTTTTTTTCTATTATGGTGTATAGAAGGAATACATGTGTATATGTGTGTGTGTATTCCTATAAAAGCCCAGTATTCATAATATTCCACACTGCAAGTTCTCCTCTATTACTTTATTTATAGCCTTTGTAAAATTATTCATAACCCATGCACACTTTTGCTTTTAATCTTGCATATGTGAATCCTGCCTATAAATACATAGAGGACTTTTATCTCTCCTCTCCTAATTTTCTTTAGTTGTTCAAATGCTTTTATTTATCTTTTTCAGTTAGTCATATATGTATCAAGTTCCAAATGATAAATGGCTCAACTGAAACAAACATTAAGGCTTTTCTCCCCCCAACACAGTCAGAAAAACTGAATTAAATTTAACACACGAAAACTAAATGGATATCCAATAGTGTATACCATAAATATACTACCACAATTTTTATTTTCTTAAAAGGGTATATTTGAAGAGAAAAAAAGGGAAACCCTACATTTCTTGGGAAGAATGAAAGTATAAATGTTTTTTTAAACTGATTTTATTCTATAGTGTCTTTATCCTCCTATCTCAGAAAAAAAAATCAAATAAGGGAAATTTAGAAAATGTTAAAAATATATTCTGACTATAACAAGAAATTATCATGGCATGGTAAATGTGAATTAAAAGTTCTTCTGTGTTCCCCAATTGATAAATTGTCAAAGGATATGAACAGGCAGTTTTCAGATCAAGAAATCAAAGCTATCTATAGGCATATGAAAAAGTACCCTAAATCACTTTTAATTTAGAGAAATGCAACTTAAAACAACTCTGAGATACCAATTCACCTATCAGATTGGATAATGTGAAAAATAAGGAAAATTATAAATGTTGGAGAGGAAGTGGGAAAATTGGGACACTGATGCACTGTTGGTGGAATTGTGATCTGATTCAACCATTCTGGAGAGCAATTTGGAACTATGCCCCAAAGGCTACAAAATGGTACATACCCTTTGATCCAGCAATACCTTTACTAGGTTTGTATTCCAAATAGATCATAAAAAAGGGGAAAGGACCTACATGTGCAAAAATACTTATAGCAATCCTTTTCATGGTGGCAAAATATTGGAAATTAATAGGATACCAATCAACTGGGGAATAGCTGAACAAGCTATGGTACATGAAAGTAATGGAATGCTATGGTGCAATAAGAAATGATGAACAGGAAGATTTCAGAAAATTTTGGAAAGACTTGTAAGAAATGATACAAAGTGAAAGGAGCAGAACCAGGACAACATTTTACATGGTATCAGAAACATTGTGTGATGATCAACTATGAATGACTGAGCTCTTCCCAGCAACAATGATCCAAGACATGTACAAAGGACTCATGAAGGAAAATGCTATCGACATCCAGAAGAACTGATGGAATATGAATACACATCAAAGCATATTTTATTCACTTACTTTATTCTTTCTTCTGGTTTATATTTATCTGTTTCTTCTTTCACAGCTGTAATTAATATGGAAATATTATAAATGCAATTGTACATTCATAAACAAGATCACACTACCTACCATTTTCAAAAGGGGAGAGGGGAGGGAAGGAGGGAGAAAAAAACGGCACTCAAAATCTTACAAAATCAATACTAAAAGTTTTCTTGGCATGTAACTGGGGAAAAATAAAATACTATTAAAAATAAAAGGAAAATATAAGTACTTCTGTGACCTATTTGTGAGACATTCAAACTTGGCCATAGTGAGCAAAGACAATTAGAAATACTATGTATCAAGGTTTTGCTATATGAAGCATTCATTACATTTTAATTAAAATTAATCTATGATGCTGTAGATTAAGATTCATGTTTTGATTCTCGTCTTAATTTTTTCCTTTTCACAAAATCAACTGCAATTCCACTTCCCCTCAGAATGACCTCATTTTTATTAATGTCATCAAGTATCTTCAAGTTGTTTTTGTTTTTGTTGTTGTTGTTGTTGTTCTTGTGGTTGTCGATTTGTTTCTGACCTTTGTGGCCACATTTGAGGGGTTTTTTTTGCAAAGATACTGGAGTGGTTTGTCATTTTCTCATTAGTTCATTTCACAGATGAAGAAATTGAAGCAAACAGGGTTAAGTGACTTTCCCAGTGTCATAAAATAGTGAGTGTCTGGGCCACATTAGAACTCAGATCCTCCTGACTCCAGACCTGACACTCTACCAACTGCACCACTTAGCTTCTCTTGTTTTCATGTCTTGGACCAACTATAATTAATTCTTCATGTACTTGAGTTGATATTGTGTTTTTTTTTTCAGTCCATTCATCTCTTATCTTGAGCCCTCATCCTAGAATGAACCTGGAAATTTATAAAGTAAAACTCAAATCTATGTAGCTTTTTCCCTGCCATGTTAATAAAATTTGCCAAACCATAAAAACATAAACATAATAGATACATCCTCAGAATTTTCCTTAAATCATTACTTTCCTCTTGTTATGTTGCCCAGCCTAGTCATGGAAGGAACTTCCAGGCTTCTATATACAGACCTTGGGGAAAGAAAGTCCAAAATCTCAGGAAGCTTGAGTTAAGTTGGTACAGCACTTAGCCAGTGATCCACACTGTATGCTCCTTTTCCCAGCTGAAACTCCCTGTAGCCTTTGTAAGGTAGTGTCAGACTCACAATGTTCACAGTTCATAAAACCCATCTATGGCTCAATTCCTTTTTGGCTCCATAACTCAAGAACCACCCTGTGGTATCTTGATTTTACTTTTCTCTTTCCCTGTGTCCAGCATCTTCTTTACTTCCAGTATAATTTCTTTTAGCAACTTTAAGGTCTTGCTGAGAGATATGATACATAAAGTCTCAAGAGAAATGGAACTATATCTACACAGGTCTGTGTATGTCATACAACGCATTAAGATTTGCCTCGTTGACCCTTGCTGTTTTAAAACAAATGGCTTCATGCTAGCTTTCAAATATTCATTATGACTCTACTTGAAAACCATGTCTTGAGCTCAAAGTCAACAGACATTTTTCCTATAATTGTCAGTAGCTGAGGCAAAAACTTCCCTAATTTCCCACACAGGTTACAATACTATCTTAACCTAAAGCAAAAAATTAAAAAAAAAGAGCCAAATGTTTAGCCATCGTTATTCTACAGAAGAGTGAGCCTGGAGGTTATAATCACATATTGCTTGCCTGTATTCACATAAGAAATGTTAATAATGTTCTTGTAAGAAATGTTGGAAGTACAACTGATTCTCTTTCTGTACAACAACTGAGGATCTTTTGATGTAAAGATTTTGAAGTTAAAAAAAATTATCTTTTGAAATATAGAATTCTGGACTGCTTTCTCCCTGTGCATTCTAATAAATAATAAAAGAGAAACTTATTTAAGAAGGAGAGGCATATAAGGAGGACTCAAAACCCCATGCAGCTTTTGGGAAATTCTAATTCAGTATATACATGCATATCCATAAAAATATTTTTAAATAAATTGAAGCTAAAATTGTCAATAACAATCTCAAAGACATTGAAACACAATCATTCTTTCAAACGGGACATAATTAAACTAATTACTAACCTAGTTGTATATTCCATCATTTAAGGAAAAACTGGCCTCTGAGCAAAAAACAGATGAACAGTTGATGGCCACCTTGCTCTTTTGCCTGCAAAAATGGAAGAAAACAAGATCAAAATTTATAGGTACATTACCTTCTGATTCAGTCAAGTCAAGTGTGATTATTTTTCTTCTTAGAGGGTCTCTAAGGCCAACTCTTCAGCAATACCTGAGGATAAGACAACTTTTTAACTTACATACTAAAAGGTTTAGGTTACATCTGAGAAGTGGCAACTGAATTTATGGAAATAAATTGTAAAAATAACTTTAGTTTTTATGTTACCTATATTCTCCCACTCCATCTCTCCCTGGTCCCCTTCTCCTAGTGCTAGCTTTATGGGTTCTAATCTAAAGGCTGCTCTAGGCATGAGTCAGCAAGAGTAAACATTTACTCTTCCTGTTGGCCTTGTGAGTTGGAAATGCACACACGCACACACACACACACACACACACACACACACACACACACTTATACACTTTTCCTCACATGATCAGACAAAATTAATGTCTTTCTGATGCTTGCCACCAATGAGACATGGACAGGGGATGAGCTACAGAAGCAAAGTTTCTGAAGTAGGAGAAAATCCTGATATGGTCCCATGTACAAGTTCACAAGTCAGTTTTGTGCCTCCTTGACATGCTGGTGGGAGAAGAGAGATGAGCAAGCTCTTTAAGTTTAGAGTTCAGTGGTTATTTGAAAGGATTCTGCTTCTCATTATCCTCTTTTTTTGCCTTGTGAATTAAACTGTTCTTGCTTTATGCTCAAAGTATTTCTTTTTTTGGGGGGGGGAACTGTTTGTAAGTCAGTAGATCTGGGGAAAATGTCTAATCAATAGATATTATCGCTCCAATCTGGCAACACTTTTTACGGGACAGGTCATTTAAAAAAAATCAAGATGATGTAACCTATTAATAGTAGAAAGTGACTTTTCACAATCTGGTCATGGGTTATAGTTCTTTCATTACCACTATGATCATTACCACTGCCAATAGCAATAACAACAGTTCCACTGGAATGTGAATGGAACAAAGGAGTGAACACCAAAAAAGAAGTAACAAGGAGTGAACAAAATTAGAGCTGTAGACAACAAAGGGTGGGGCTAACATTTAATAATGATCAGAGCAAGTACAAAGGGGATGAGGAGGGGAAAGGTGAAAAGCAGGTTAAATCTTCTCAAGAAAAGTATCTAATTGACTATGAACTAAAGGTTTATCCAAAATCTGTGCTAAATTTTTAACTGGGTGACCAAAAGCCAAAGAGCTGATAACTTCTGTAAAGGAAACACATTCTGAAGCTATAGGACAAAACCAAAAGACAAGATAGAGGGTTTGCCAGGGAGTTGCCTTTTATTCTGCTTAATCCAATTCCCCAAATATTTTTTTTTTAAATAACTGTGGTATGTATTCTATTTTTTTTTAGAAATTTATTTATTTTGACTTATGGAATAAAACAAGCATTTCTATAACATTGAAATGAGCAAAACCAAGAGAACACTGCATTCTATTTAAGGCATTTTTTGGCAATTAAAGTAGATAATGCATGTTATCTAAAACAATAAACCACTTTCTTAATCTGGTCACCCATTGTTGACTTATTAATCTAGCATCAGCCAACTGGACAACTAAGTCCTAAAGATGTCTTTTCCTTGAGTGTAGGCATAGGCCAGATCTACATAATTTATTATGACTCTCTTATTGCTCTGACTAGGGGCTTGGATGGTATTAATTGAAAATCATTATATTGTCAATATAACAAAACAAGTACATTTATAATCATATAACCCTGATGTAGAAGCGATACTCATACTCAAATTATAATAGCACCAAATTTAATGTTTATACATGAACTTATATCATCTCTGTTACATTATCATTCCTTCTTAGAGTTTTTGAAATTGAACATAGATTTCCAGGAGGAGAAAGAAGCTGTTTAAAAGAGGAGTATGATGGGTAACTACATGGCACAGTGGATAGAGCACGAGCCCTATATTCAGGAAGACCTGAATTCAAATGTGACCTCAGACACTCAACACTTACTAACTGTGTGACCCTGAGCAAGTCGCTTCACCTCATTGCCTCACAAAATGAAAAAAAAATAAATAAAAAAGAGGAGAATGATGAGCACATGTGATTAGCCAATATGCATTTAGGGTAAGGAGAATATATTTACTTGGTTGGAAGAGTGACTTCAGGATATAGAGGAAACAAGAATAGTTAGGAGAGCTAACTGTTATTAGCAGAAACCAATAACAGGGTAAGCAGCAAACTAATGTAGGCTTAATATTCATAATTGTCTGACCTTCTAGCTATTATCTCGTAATCTATACATCCCTCTATTTATCAAATCTATCTATCTCTAGCTAGCTACCTGTCTTTCTCTAACATAAAGCAATGAACCCAGTGTAAAACTCTAAAAGAATAATGAAATAACCAAAATGACACACATAAAATAAATGTATTCCCTAATTGCTAGGAATAAATTTTATGTCTTATACCAACTGGGTGAACTGAGGTTACTATGGAAAACATTAAACCAAAAGGTTATTAAAGACACTAGAAATATTTGGTAAGAAACTAAGTGAAAATATTTGTGAGGAATTGGTGAGAATCCAAGTCATTAAAAATTAGGATTTGGCCTTTTATGAGTTCATTCTTTTTCTCAGACTCAAATATGAACAGCTTTGCACGCAACAACAGCAAAATACTCAAGTTGGCGATGAGATCATTCTAAGTTCTTATATTCTGAATTCCTCTGTTGTTTTGGGAGCCTTGATGGCTTCTTTTTCCTGTAACATTTCTTATTCTTAATTGGCTGAGCATTTTTGCAAAGTGATTTTTTTTCTTTTTCTCATTAACCATGTCATGTGCAAACAATCCTTAGGGTGAGTTGATATATTTGATTTTTTATGGAAAATAATTCTCAAAAACATACCCAACTTTAAAAATTTGTTTTACATTAAAAAAAATCCATCTCAATGCTGAATAACAGAAATTCCATTACTTATGAAATTCTCTTCTTTTAAGGGATATTTTAGGAACTTAAACAAAATTTTATAATTGAAGATCCGTGGGTGATAATTGCTATTGTTTTAAGCAACTATTTCTAAAACACTATTAATAGTTCCTGTCAGGGTAATCTGGCCTATGACCACTCTTTGCAATATTCTTGTGCTTTTGAGGTTTACATAAGAGAGAAATAATATATGGTTTATGCTTATCCTTAAATCAAAACCATTTTATGAGGATTGAATCCAGCATTTCCTTTCTGCCATGAAAAGGGAGACAGTCGTATTTCAAATACTCAGATCTTTAAAGGAAATTTTGGACATCTTATTTATGACATGAAACTACTTAACTAGGAGGACAAAGAATGTGAGTGATGTTATTTTGCCAGAGGGAGGAATATGACTGAAAAGCTATCCAGTAGCATTTTTTTTGCTCAGATTTCAGATGTGTTGAGCATGTAGATGTATTAAAAGTATTTTATAAGGATGTTATATTGAAACTACAGAAAATTGTGGTTTTCCTTCAGTTTGAAACATGTTGTCTTATTACAAAAGACATCTCTTTTTCCTGTGATCTTCAGACAGACTTCAAGTACTTGAGTATTCTAAATCAAGAAGATGAGACAGGATTTCTAGATCTTTCATTAAATCTGATTCTGAAAAATGCTCACAATTAAAATTCTTATTCTCTAAGACACAATGGAGTAATGATAGCTAAGATTTATAAAGCACTTTAAGTTTTGAAAAATACATTTTGTGTTTTTTTTAAATTTGATCTTCATAATAATCCTGAGAGATGAATGTATTATTATTTCTCATTTTACAGATGAGGAAAATGAGACATAGTGATGGCAAGTGATTTGCTCAGGGCCTCATAGCTACTAAGTATTCTAAGCCAGAATTTTAACTCAGGACTTCCTGACTCCCAAGGCCAGAAATCTATCACTATATCACCTAATGGATAACAAACAAGTCTAGGTGTCAGGAAGTCCTGGGTTCAAGTCCTGACTAGAGATACAGATTAGTTTTTTGACTCTCAGGAAAAAAAAAATAATTTTTCAGTGTTCTAAGCAGCTCTTCAAGATTATAAATTTTAGTGCAGTTGCTTATCTGCATTAGTAGAAGGAATCTTTCTACCATTTAAATCAAAGGTTATTTCCATTTTATATGTGTGTGTGTGTGTGTGTGTGTGTGTGTGTGTGTGTGTGTGTAAAGAGAGAGAGATAAACATAGATACAAAAATAGATAGAGATAGATCTATATATAGATCTATCCACATATAGATCTATCAATATCTATATCTTAAAGATACATTATTAGGGATCATTCAAACTTAGGGTAATTGATAACCTTCTTTTCAAACTTGTTATTTTTTAAAATTTTACTTTAGGGGAGACTTTCCAGGCTAACCAATTATACAAGTACGAAATACAGACTTAATGATTCTCAGCAGTTTCATTATTCAGAGGATTCTCTTGGCTATGATAATCCGCTAATAATCTTGGAGTCAGGATTTACCTCACAAATGGAAACATTGATTTAAAGATCTAGAACACATTGAGTTTTTTCTTCAATTATGATACATGTGGAGAAAGAATGGTATTAATTCTGAATTGTGTTAGAAAAATAAGTACAAGAAAAAGAACATTAATGGTATTTAGGAAAATAATTTAGGAAAAGAAGAACTTGTAAAAGAAGGAGGAAATAACCATGGTAACACCTTAATTTTTAATTTAGAGTTATTCACAGGAAGGGTGTTTATTTTTACATTAACATTGAGGAATCAGATTATCTCTAATGTTTAGCAATTTGACAAAATCAGGTCCCTCACACCCCATGATATTCTTGATCATTTCACCAGTTGTCAAGTTTTACTATGTTTACTTCTACAACTCTTATGTCTGACCCATTCTCCCTACTCACATAGCTATCACCTTAGCTTGAGACCTCATCACATCTTCCCTATTTCCTAATTGATCTTCCTGACTCCAGTTTATCCCTGTTTCATTCCATCTTTGAAAGTGTGAGCAAAGTGTTTTTTCTTAATCAGAGATCTAACCATGTCATTTCTCTATGCAATCAACTCTAGTACTTTCGTATGACCTCTAGAATTAAAGGCAAAATTTTTCATTTAGGTTTTAGAGTTCTTAATAACCATATTTTTTTCCCTTGTCTTAATAGTCATTACTCCCTTTCCTGAACTATATGGAACAGATAAACTGGGTGTCTCTCTAAACCTCATTCATGACACTCTTTCTCCCATCTCTGTGCCTTTGGACTATTACCTATTCCCTGAACTTAGTCCTTTCACACCTCTACCTCATAGT